ATTCCGGATCTCACTAGTTGAGTAAGTACGTTAACAATGAAATAACAGTACGGTAACAGCCGGAAGTTAATTAGAAACTGTGGTTATCTGGATTAGGGAGGCGTGGTCGATTGGAGAGACTGGCTCTGAACAATTCATCCATAACTGTGACCTTCAGCGGTAGTTGGTTGCAATGCGTTGCGACCTCCTGGTTGATAGATTTGGTAACGAGACTAGAATTGTCGTTACATATATTTACTATAGAGTGTAAATCGGATTACTGAAAATAGTGCACTATTACAAATTAAGGGAGATTTTGAACAATGCGAATGCGCTGTGCTTTCCTCAGATGGCAGAAAAATCTTGTTGACATATATAACATTGTAGACTTTCACGGCTGGCGTTAAAGTTTTGATTGGCTTCCGGTTTTGCCGTGGTCTTCTTTGGTTATAATCTCCAAACTTTTCAATTGCAACGGCGGCAGTCATCTTCAGTGGCGTGATCGTAGTATTCTTCTTGACATGCCGTTTCAGTTGACACGTCAAGAAGGGTACTTCGACTACGTCACTGAAGATGACTGCCGCAGTTGCAGTTGAAACGTTTGGAGATTACAACCAAAGAAGACCATGGCAAAACCCGGAAACCAATCAAAACTGGAGGCATATTTCTTCACTGGGCAAGAGCACGATTATTAAAGATAGTGAAGTGTCATAGTCAAGAATGTCAGCCATCATAGGCCATGAAATAATAATAAGTATCAATGGAAGAGAGAGAAAGAGAGGCGGAAACTCCTAACACAAAAAATCCTTGTTTCATTCTATTTTTGCTAAAGTGTAGCTTCTTGTGAACTATATCAGGATTGTGAAGCAAATAGTTGAATTAACTCAGTGGGTAGAGTAGTGAACTGGAAGAATCGAAAGAGTAGGAAACAACAAACTTGTGTAGCCTGTAACAACCCTGAATGAGTCCCCATCAGTGATATTTATAAAGGGGATTGGTGGGGATGCCACTTTTGATTGGCTCGAGCAGTGTCGAGTTTGATACTACATTGGCGAGCTGAATAGCATTTTTGGGTTCAGACAAGGTATCAATTGCGAGTAGTGTGAAGAACGTCTGTTTTATCAAATTGTATTTCATGGCCTTCTTATAGTGCATGTTCAACAACTGCGGGTTTTTCCACGGCTCCAAGAGAGCCAGATATTGTTTGTTTCCTGAATGAGTTCTCACATTCCGTGGGATAGTACCTGCGTACACGGACTTACAAGAGCATGGAACCTTGAGTCGGAAAGAGGGTCTTTGGGATTCTCGGCCACTGGAGACAAGGTACCAACCCTTCGAAATGTAAGGACTCGATTCTTCGCACGAATAGAAGTCTATGGAAATTAAAATCAATAAAACAGATATGTTTCACACCACATGCCACCAATACAAGCATCTAAACCAAAAAATCATAGAAATTCACAAATATCAAGATAACTTAAATCGAAACGAGGAAATCGCTAGAATCGACAAAACATAGTGCCCATCTCTCCGCCGAAGTCCCATCAAACCCGATACGGCCCTAACCAGTCAGAAAAGAGCCCCAACTACTCCCCTCCATAAATATTACTAACACACAGAATAGTACTTGTGATGTACTATTTGGAACCTTTGGTGTAGTGATAAATATTACTGAAGTTTTATCCCAACACCAAACCGTGGATGATATCTTCGTCATCTAGAAACATAGGAGGGGTGTTCCGAACCTTTTCCCAGACCACTTGAAGCATCCAAGCATCAAGTTCACCATGGACACTGAACAGGAGCAGCGAATAGCTTTCCTAGATGTACTAATCGAACGATGTGGTGCTAGACTAACCCACAAAGCGGAAAGGAAAAGGCTCAGATGGTTGCACGCGCGTATTTACCGTATATCCCTATGGTCACATACTGAATTGGAAAACTCTTGGGGAAACACAACATTAAAACGGCCAGCACCAAGACGATACAAAGAAACTGCAGACTAGGCCAAACGGACAAATCAGCTGTAGCAGAACACCCACTCACTGAAGGAAACCACAGAATTCTGTTTGAAAACACAGAACAATAGCCGACTGGTACGGGAGGCAATAGAAATCCATAAAAACACAAATGATTTCAACAGAGAAGAAGCTGTGAAACTCAATCGAATATGGAAACCTATTCTTAGAAGTTCCAGAATAGCAAACAACATGGCGGCAGGTAGAAACGCGTCAGCGAATCTTATTGACAATTTACCAAATTCAGATGCAGGTTTTATCACACCAGACTACCTGAATCAATATAAACACGCTTTACGTAATTCAACTGAACCATACACAGGTAATTGCTCAACAAAGTACCTGAAGAGTAAACATAAATACGCGTTTCGCAGCCGTAATATTAAGTCATCGGAGATTCCGAAAATCCACGGCCTTCTAACCCTGAAAATAGTGACACACAGAATAGTGTTCAATTAATATGTCAACTAGGAGGTCGCTACGCATTGCTGTCAACTACCCCTGAAAATGCCCGTGGCAGATATATGCGAAACGTTCAGAGCCAGTTTCTCAATGAGTCTTTTTCCTGAGAATAGTACAGTAACGTGTCACGAGAGGCAGCACTGGTAGTAGGGACGAACATAAACTATTCACATGTGAAACAGTGTTATTTTGTGCTAGTATAATGCTAACAAAGCATTGCTGTTTTGCGAATTATACGTCGGATAATCGATATCCGGAAGAAAACGTGTTTTTTATACCATTTATAAAACCTCATATTAATGAGGTTAGATGTAAAAAATGGATACATGCTTCGAGGAGCATGCAAGCCAACGTTTTAATGTTACACAACATTGTTATCCTTTACAGTTGCAAATTTTAGTTTTGCTCCAGGAATATCTTCTTCTGTTAAAAACATTCTTTTTNTTACCATATGTTTATATGAGGATTAAGCAGTGTTTGTCCCTACCGAACTACTAGCGCTGCTAGTGTGTGATTTTTCGTACTTCAGGAAAAAGATTAATTGGACTACGGCTGCTTAGCCCGGATAACTGTAGCTTGCATTCAACAATGAAATAATTCGAAATTTATTTGAAAAAAGTGCACGGCCCTTACATTATTCTCATCGTGATTTGCAAAAGCGAATGATTTTCTAGTAAAAGTGAATTGATGTGAAATTTCATTGTTGAATTTTAGGTTATTGAAAATTAATGCAATTATTGAATAATTCCAACGACTTCTATCCCTTTTTTGTAGCGAGAGAGATATACAAATTTTATACTTATGAGTATTTCGATTGTCATTCCGTTTTTGGTATGACTAATTCAGATGTTTTACTGAATAGTACCAGAGCAACAGTTTTGAAAACATTGATTGAACTCAGAGATCTGGGGTATGGTTTCGATCAAAGCTTTGAAGGTAGGTTCTACTTTCGTATCGAGTGTGGGTGACTTCACCTTGGATAATTACATTCCTCAAAATGAAACACAAGACTTTGAACGAATTAATTCTGCCAATTTCACATTGAGGGAGCACTAGTCTCAAACCAGGAGTTTGTACCTTGTCTTCTAATATTGATTAATTAGGCACAGCAAGAAAATACATCTTTTATGGTGCAGTTTGAATTGTTTGTGGAATGTGATATAACATTCGTGCAATCTTTATGCCATTTTCATAGTGAAATGTAATTATTCACTTTTTAGAAAGCATAATAACACATCTCAATTATTGGGATCTTTAAGACAAATGATGTACTGTTGCTATTGTGATGTACTGTGACCTTCCATATTGAATGTTGGAAAACACCATATATTCTATCCAGAGTCGATGTATTCTCAAGAGTAGTACTTTGTGAAAGTATGTCAATGTACTTACGAAATTTGAATAAACTGTAATTTTTTCTCATCATACCATCCCTACAGTCGGGTAAAAAAGACTTGGACCCTAAATATGTGTTCTCGAAACTAACTAAATTTTTTTACAAACCACATCTAACCATTCTAAACTAACATTTTTTATAAAAATATCAATAGATTCGTTTGAGCATATGATATATTATTTTTGATCACACTACGAACGAATTTGATCAAATTAATATTCAATTCAAAGTTATAACTACTCATGAAGACCTTTTGCATTAATGAAGAAATCGGATATTTTTCTATTTGGACAAATATGATTACTTCTGAGATATTTGAGGTATTGAAACCAATGAAGTAAATACACATTGAAGAAAAGTGGTATAAATATGGTACAAATAAACTTTTTATTATTGAAAAAACCGCCCATATGGCAATAGATACCTCGGGATTGATTTTTACCTTGCGGCTAAAAACGTGAGTTACAAAACAGGTAAAAAGCAAATAAACATTTGTCGGATGATATTCGTC